TTTTTTTTTTTTGGTTTATGTTCTTATTTTCTGCTTGTTCCTTTCTGGGTTCTTGCTAAAAGTTCCAAAAGGTAAATATATAAATAAATAAAATCAGTTAAGTGTAATCTGCACGGTGAAACAAGGTTTGAGAAAAACGGTTTAGCTTTCTTGGGGTGGATTTATCAGTTGACCCATGTTTTATGTTTTGGGGCTCTCTAATAATCTACGGATTATAGAATGTTGACATGTGCATTTCTCGAAAAACTTTTGCCTTTTTGGCCTTCTTCTGTTGAATCAATTTTTGTGTTGGTATGTTTACTCTTGGGTTTCTTGAGGTCGTTTATTTGTATGCTGCATAGTCCGGTAGATTAATTTCCGATTTCTCGCTAGCTTCTTGGTGAAATTTTTAAGAAAGGATGTATTATTTTTACCTTACAATGTGGCTGATTGAATTTAGTGCTCTGGAATGGGGTGATGGGTTCTACAATGGAGATATCAAAACAAGAAAGACGGTTCAGGCCGTGGAGTCGAATGCTGATGATTTGGGACTAGAAAGAAGTGATCAGCTGAGGGAGCTTTTCGAGTCTCTCTCTCAAGGTGAAACGAGCCCTCGACCTCAAAGGCCCACTGCTGCATTGTCCCCCGAGGATTTAACGGATGCAGAGTGGTATTTCTTGATTTGCATGTCGTTCGTGTTCAACATTGGCCAAGGGTAATACTAATTCTAACTCCCGAACAATATTGCTCGGGATATTTGATTTTCAGTTTCCACTACTGATTACGTTCAAGATTCGTGTAGCGTTATGTTTTGAAGTCCTTTTTCCTGTAAAAAGGAAAATGAGTTTTGCTGATTTTTCATGTTGTTTGCTTGCACATAGGCATGATTTTTGGTTTATCATTGTACTTGCTCGACCGGAAAATACAAATTTTAAACAATGATAATTGTATTGATTTTGGTTAAATTGTTGCAAGGTTGCCCGGGAGGTCATTGGCTCAAAATGAAACTGTGTGGTTGTGCAATGCTCAATGTGCGGAGACCAAAGTTTTCTCCCGTTCCCTGCTTGCAAAGGCAAGTGCACGAGTTTATGACTATTTTGGAATAGAAAGAAAAATTTAAACTATCCTACTTAAATATCAGTCAAAAGCATGTGTGGCCAAATGCCCTCGATATACGATTGCTTGACAAATTTACTGACTTGTTCTGCTTTCAATTCTGCGCCATGTCCCGGTGGATAACTTTCATTTGCTTTATCCAGAGTGCATCAATCCAGGTACTAATAATTTTACATGACACGACGTAACACTATCATAGTTCATTAATGGTGCATTTAATGAGTGTCGTTTTCAACTTGCAGACGGTAGTGTGCTTTCCACATTTAGGTGGTGTAATGGAGCTTGGAACTACTGAGCTGGTATCTGATGTTATTTTATTATTACTGTCAAGTAAAAAATTACATCTCTTACATCATATGGAAAATATTTAATTTTTCTTCGTAACGATTAATTTTTTCGACATGTATTTTATGTAAAGGTTCCTGAGGATCCAATTCTGATTCAGCATGTAAAAACATTTTTCCTGGGGAGTCCTTCCACAATTTTCTCCAACATTCCCAATCATGGAGATCCTTCTTCGGCTAACGAACTCGGAAAAAATATTGATCAGCAGCTATCAGACTATCAAGACACTACTAACATTTGTTGTCCCGAGATCAATTCAGATGATTTTCCAGACAACTTTCTGAAAGAGGAATCGAATTTCGGAAATGACGTTTATGAGGAAGCTTCCCAAATGCAAAACGGGCAATTTAAAGACAACTATTCTTTGAGCTCGAGCGATTGCATATCTCAAACTCTTGGTAATCCTGAGACAAATATCGTGTCTTCGGACAAAAGTAAGGCCCATGATGATTTTGTTCGCAGTCATGAGCAGGCACACGACTCGTCCGGTTTTGAAGGCAATGCTGACAGTACTCGTTATCAAAATTTGCTTTTGAATCTTTTAAGGGGCTCCCACGAGTTGATTTTGGGGCCGTACTTCAGTAATGGAAGTAGGAAATCTAACTTTGTTAGTTGGAAGGACTCGAAACCGTGCAGCAGTTCCCTTCGAACCGGGACAACACCACAAAGGTTACTTAAGAAAGTATTGTTTGAAGTTCCAAGAATGCATGAAAAGAATAGTCGGACCAAATCTAGTAACAAACAACAAAGTGACAAAAATGACGGCTGTAAACGAGACGGTGAAGAAGGTGGTGATAGAAACCATGTCTTGTCTGAGAGGAGGCGCAGAGAAAAAATTAACGAGAGACTTATGATTCTTGGATCACTTATCCCATCTGGTGGCAAGGTAACTTAATTAATCTCTTGGGATTAATTACAAAAGATAAAAATAAAAAATAAAAATAAAAATAAAAAATAAAAAATAAAAACTGTGTTCTTGACAAAATTTAGCTATTTTTCCTAAATTAGAAAAGACCCATCTGATAAAAACTTCAATAGGTGTCTGATATCTTGAGGTGCATTTGTAGTTAATGAAGACGGCTAGGATTTTTGAGGTGGTTTTGCAATGAACTGAATCTCAAGACCCAGCTTGTAATACAGTTTGAGAAAAGCTTAATCTTGGCTTCTCTTATTGCAGGTTGATAAAGTATCTATCCTCGATCATACAATCGAGTACTTAAAAGAGCTGGAGAGAAAACTGGAAGTGTTAGAATCTTACAAAAGAGCAATGGAGCTAGAAACAACAAGGACACAACAAACGGGACCTCATGAAGCCATTGAGAGGACATCAGGTAATTACAGCCCTAGAGAAACTGGCATTTTGAAGACTCCACTGGGGAACAAGAGAAAAGCTTGTGATACGGATAAAACAATAGCTGATCACAAAAGGGGCCGACCAAGAGATTCTTCAAAAGGCAGTATAATTCTCAATGTCACAGAAAAAGATGTGTCAATTGATATCAAGTGTGGTTGGAGGGAGTTTGTGTTGGTTGAAATTATGGAAGCTATAACGAAGCTTCATTTAGATTCACAAACCGTTCAGTCTTCCGTTGCCGATGGAATTCTCTCCATGACTATAAAAGCCAAGGTTTGCTTCCAAAAATGAAATGCATTTTTTGTGCCCACTATTTTAAGCTGCATTATTTGCAAGTTACTTTATCATGAAAATTACCATTGCAAGTAATTATGATTTTGATACTGGCTTTATGATAATTTGCAGTGCAAGGAAGTGAAAGGTCCATCAGCAAGTGTGATCAGACAAGCACTTCAGAAAATTATCAGAAAATCTTGAAGGCGAAAGCTCCAGAATTTTTTTTTTTAGTTGTGTTAGTTGTATAAAGTTTTAGTAACTCGAACAAGTAATGTTCATGAGCTTCTCATGCATCGCAGTCCAGCAAACATTGTTCTATGATTTTTTTGTAATGTTAATTGAGGCATGTTATTTTGTTTTTCTTTTTGTTACTCATTGTGTTGCCTTTTTTTCTATTCGAATGCGTTTCTTAGTAAGTGTCAATGTCACTAACTTCAAAATATACTTGTACAAAATAGTTACTAATTCATACATCTATTTCATATTTTTCGTATTTTCTAAAAACACTCTTAGCATCAATCAGCCAAGAATTCTCCCTTCTACTTTTCTATCAAGAATTACAACAAATCAGAGCATCGAAATACGAAGAAAGGCTTCATGATTCATGAACGAAACCCAAGTATGACATCCAACACACATTCTTCGAGAATATCTTCCGAAATGTGAATCATAATATATTCAGTTTCAGTTCGGGCATCAATCCAGGATCTTGAATCCGAGACATCATTCGCGAGAAGCTGGTCCACTGTTCTTCCCTCAGTCGAAGTAAGTAAACTGTAATCTGCAGTCTTTCTCCTTATCTCGTCAAGTACGAATTCTTGCAGTGGCAAAATACACTTTTTTGGTTTAAAAAATTCTGGCCAGGGGAAAAATGAGAAATGGGACCCGTGTATTTCCAGTAAAACTTCATTCACATGATCAAAAAGAAGCCTATGATTGATATGATGATGATCAGAAGTCAAAAACTCTATTTCATCAAATAAGGATGAATGGAGAAGCTGTTGAGGCCGTGGACCGATTTCTGATAGCTGTTCCCATTTTAAAAAAGAACTTTGAAGCACCAATTGCACGTATTTTGATATGTAATCTTTTTCATCAATGTAGGCATTTTCGGTCATTGGTTGATCTTGGGGATATGACTCGACTGAGAATCTTTCGAAGTAAAGACGTCTAGGATGTGATCTCCTTCTGCCTGAAAATAATTCAAAAAATGTGAAATCTTTGACGAACCATCTTGCACGAAAAGGGAAAGGTATGCATCTTATTTCTTTTTTCTTTTTCTTTTTTTTTTCTAGCAAGCTTACCGGTTTGGAGCATGATGTTTGATGGACTATTATTAGCATCTTCTGCGAAGAACAATTGCTCGAGAACAGAGACCGGACTTTCTTGCTCATCGTGATTTTTGATGTTTTCGGCTGTGTTTAAGCTGTGGGCACTTCTTGGAGTGGATGGAAGATCATCAGTTGTGCTCGTAAATGTGTCATTCTCCGAAAGTAAGTCCTGAAATTATGAAAATGTGTTTGTCATAATATAAATCGATGAATGTGAAAATGTTATAAATGGTAATCTAAAAAGCATCTCGAAGTGCCTACCGATGTAGAATCCGTTCTTACAGTACCATCTGAATGGCAAATGTTTCTTGTTTCTACTATCTGTTTTTCACCTGCAGTAAAAAAAAAAAAAAAAAAA